AAATTGGGGGTTGTTTTAGTAGTAAATTATATGCACAGTAAACAACACTAAGCAAATTTTTTCCGATTGCGACGTAATACTTATGAATGATTTAAAAATCAAATTCATCACTCTTGTGTCGAATGTCGTTGTTATGAGTTTCATATGTGCAGAGTATAAATGAATCAGGTGGAGTCGAATATATGAAAAAGAGAGTCAGAATGCATATAAATGAAACACTACCAATGATTCGAGTGTTGAATACTCATTGTAGATTTCTGATCTTCCACATGAGGAATTCCTATTATCGACAACATTCATGACTGTAAACAATATAGTACTAAATGCACTACAAGGGACAAACTACAATATTTTAGTCTTTTAATCAATTAGGTTTGTCGCAAATCTAATTTTATTGTGCCCACATAATGCACTGTGCACTGAAGTTGTTTCTCTACTGGAAAACTTAACATCGCACATTGAGCCAACATTACTCTCGCTTACTGAATAAAAGTTGGAGGCCACAAGATTAAAGTCCACATAGATTGGTGTAAAATAAAATGGATACCATCAATATTTGCCTGCCTGTTCTTTTAAAAATCAGACTCAAATGTACTCTAAGCAATGTCCAGTTGCATTCCACGTAGATAGTCATCCTATTGGCAACAATTTCCGTAGAGCCCTCTGCTTCCTTCGATCCCAGTTTTCGTATTCTAAACTCTTCGACACCTATTGCAATGAAGGCAACATAAAATTATTCATACATAACTTTACCCTATTTAGTTGATATTCATTAAACCAGTTAGAAAACACTGGAAGACAAATGGTATGGTACAAACTTAAAGTTCAACAATTTTTGCCGTTCTCATTTATATAGCAAATATGATTTTCAAGCATTCAATTTCAAGTTAACGAATAAACCAAAAACGACAGCCAACAGGGGTACTTAGAGCTAAATAAGTAAGTCTATGTGAAAGTCTATGTGAAAATTGCTGGTTTAATCTCAGTTCACGATTGGAGCTCCACGAAATAATATTTCATATGCTTAGTACTGAATATTCTGAAAAATCAAATAATAATTATTAAGAAATAATAATAATAATTTATTAAGAAAGCAGTTAAACTTTATCAGATTACTAAAAAGAAAGTTGCAGTTTTTACTTCAAGTTATTGAATATTAATTAATGGCTGGAGGGTCAGCTTTTTTTAGGCGGGAATAGGTGGGAATCTATCCATTAGTGCGAGATACCAGCTGGATACCATAAGTCCATATTGGTTTTATGATGCTTTTATACAAGAGTACTTTATACTCTAGGCACAGGGAGGATCTGTTATTAATGAGCCAATGCAACTAACATATGGAGATAATTCTGCGAAGTAAAACACAATTTTTATATTACCTTAAACTTATTTTTTTTATCAATAATTCCCAACAATGTTTCACGATGTCCGAACGCTGCTAGTCAAACGAAGAATGAACGAATGAATAAATGTAAAGTAGAGATTGCGTCATTGCTAAGCACGCCTTATGTTAAGTATACTTTTTAAACGAGATCTTCAAGCTGAAATTGCGTTTGCAGTTGAAATGCTCATGCGCCACATCACTACCTCTCCAGTGACTGAGCGAAGCAATGCCACGATCTTATGCTATTGATCGTCTTAAGCATTATCAGCAAATCGAACTGGTAACCGAATTCGCCTATCGCAAGAAAATGTTTTAGTTTGTTTTGTTGGATATTTTTGGTTATGTTCGTCTGCTTTTCGATATGCAAAAGACTGTTCTACTGCCTGCTGTTGATCTGTTTATTGCTCTGTTATTGCTTTGACCCGATCTATACTTACACGTACTGGTTTGGCTTTCCGTAGAATGGTCATCAGTTTATTGTCGTGATTGCTTACCTTAAATGGTCCTTCGTAAAGTGATTTGAGAGGTAGTCGAATAGTGTCATCGCGTAGATAAACAAGAGTACATTTTTTAAGGTCCGGTTGTACAAGTGTTTTTGATATGGAGTGGTTTGCCGTAGGTACTTGCCTTAGTTGCTCCATTACATCTCGTAGTGATTGTACTAATTCTGAATTGGACATAACATATCTTTACTGGAACTTTCGAAAAACTCACCTGGGCCCTATTGCACCAAAACTTTTACTTTGCATTTTGGAAGCTGTTGAGAACATAAGTCATTGAGACCACAAAGCCCTAATTAAAGTTTTTAAAACACTTAGTAAATGCAAAGCGTTGCACCAATGTACTTTTCAACGAAAAGTAAAGTATGAAAAGTAAAGTGAAACATTTGACAAAAACCACTTTTTGGGGTTTTTCTGTTGCACCAACACTTTTCACTTTACGTTTTGCAAAAGTAAACTGCAAAACTTTACAAAAAAATTGCAAATGATTAATTCACCCTGCAAATTTTGTAAATGGTTGCTTTACACAAAACAAAAGTTTCTTATGTATATTAATAAAAGACAAAATGCGTAAAATGAATGAAGTCATTAATAAAAAAATAAAGATAGTTTTGTGACATTGATATTGATGTTCAAAAGAAAAGAAAGAAAAAATAGAAAACGAAAATTAGTTTAGGCAAATATTATTGATGTTTTTAAAATAAATTTAGTTGTTGCTTATTAACATACTTGGCAATAATTGAAAGTATATCTCACCGGAATTTTTATAAGTTTAAAATTTTATTTTATTAAATTATTTACATTAATTAAATATTTATTTATCTAATTTAAATACAATATTTTAAATTAACTATACTATTATAAATTATTAAACTATAAGCTATTTATTAATTTAAAAATTTTATACTTATACTTATATATTATATTTATACTTATATATTATATTTTATACATATATATTACGTTATATATGTTATATGAAACGTTCAGCTTAAGTCCGAACAGCTGAAGTAGCTCGAATACTATGCGCACGTGTTGGCAATGTTGTGATTCATTTCCTGAATCGATACAGATCTCATCAATGTAACAAGTTACAAAGTTGAAAGGTTTGAGCAGCATTGCGGACTCCAAAGGTCATGACTTTGAATTCGAATAAAACAAATGGTGTGGTGATGGCTATTTTTTTCAGCACAGCACAATCGGTACATTATAGTATGCCCTTTCTAAGTCCAGTGTTGTAAAGATACACTTACCGCTTAATGTAACAATATGATGCTAGACAGCGGTTTGATTTCCCCTAATTTTGTTGTACGAATCGCCAGCTCCTTGAATTCTTTCAGCAGCTTCAGAAACTTGTGAATGGCGTTTACTGCAAAAATTGGTTCCTGTGCAGTTGCGCAAGGTACTTTTTATCCAGTTGTGTTAAGTGCTCTGTGTAGGCCCAGGGCTAGTGTTAGTCACTTATTAGCGAAAGTACGAATAGGTGAACCATTTTCTGCGTAAAGAGACTTTGACGAAACTGGCATTTTGTGCTTATCAATGAACGAAACCGGTAAAATGGAAAAAATTACTCCTGTGTATATTAAAAATTTTAGTCATGTAAGTGCATCGATTATAAAAAATCGGTAGGATTTGTATGGTTTAGATGCTTCGTCAACCACCGGTGACTTGATTTTTAGTTTCTCGCTGTTGTGAAATGGCATGGTGGCACACATTTTCGAGTGTTCGATGTTGGATACCTCACAACTCGGTTTGCAGATCTGGAAGGGGTTTGATTACGACGCGTAGGTCTAACTGCTCTTGATCGTAAGCGGCGATGGTTTCATCCAATTCCATTGCATTTAGTCTATTGCTTAACTTTTCGACTGTTGCAATCAATGAAATAATGTCGAATGGTGTGTTACACACTGTTACATTGTTTGTTTTTGCTTGCACTCCCGAAACTACATGATGGTTGCCTATCTCAAGCATCAAATCCCCCTGCTGTACACACTTATCTAGTTCGACATCTGCAATTTAGACTACAGCCTGAACAGTTTCAGGTAGTCGATCTAGCCACAGTTGTTTGATAGCGCTGTCTCTCATTTCACCGCTAGCCAAGTTGTGCATGGCTGTGAGTAGCTGAGAAGGTTTTAA